GCAGCGACATTTTACTACTTGGCCGAAGGTACCGCGACCAAGAAAAGCCATAACTTCATAGCTTTCGGACATAGAATTAAGGACTTCGCCGACGACAATGGTGTAGTCTCCCTCGCTTATTGTGGCTCGAGTGCCAGCTTTGTTGTTTGACGCAACAGCAATGCTGTTAGTCAAATGTTTATTTAAAACATTCGAAGCAAAGCTTGATTGATCTCTGGATCCCGAAACATCATCTGACGCAGCAATAAGATTTGATGGATACCCGTTTGAAATCTGGGCATAATGATTCTGCTTGTGCGAACCAGACTCGGCATTTCCCACTCCATATTGAGTTAAATTTTGGTGAACAGCATATGATTGATTTGATGGAAGTACAGAATGAGGGTGGATGGACACCAAGGAACTTTTGTAGGCATACAAATCAGCTTCATCAGCTTTGCGTTTTTTGCTATTTACAAGTTGAAGCTGTCCGGATACATAATTTTCGCCTCTCTCAACGCCCTGGAAGTTTTCATATCTGTTGGAAAAATCGGACAAACAAAGGTGGGAATGCCGAGAAGCGATATTCATATGCTTAGCCATCTTAAGCTTGTTTTCTTTATAAATGTGAACACCTGGTTGACAAAACCCAGAAGCCTCTCTTGTAAGATCGAATACTGACGCGATGTGGGCTGCCTGACTATTAGAAGTAGGGCTTGTTGAAACTCCAAGCATTGGATATAGGCTATCCTAGAGCACTTCAGAGGCAAATGACTGGTCAATTCATTTTAGTTCACGGGCCTCCTAGTTTTTAAAAGCCAGAACAATCATAAAGGGCGCGACATGTTAAAAACGAATGAAATACGCGAATAGAGCAGTAGCTCCATTTACCTAAAGCATAGGATAACTTAGTTAAGAGAAATCCAGGAGGGAGCTGGTTGATGACTGGCTTCCGATTTGGAACGGAGCCAACTTAAACAAGAAAAACCATAACAAGTAATTAGTCCCATAAATAAACAAATAATTACTCATTTCTGCTAATATATAGTTCGAACATAAAATCGAATTATTAAAAGGGTTTTTGAGCTGTTATTTGGTCGAAACAAAAATGTCTAACCTCCCCTTAATTATGGATTTAACTGAAGGATATAAAATATCCAAACTCTATTTACTATACACCCTGAATCAATTGAAAAGTTTCAGATATACTATATCAAAAGAAGCTGTACATGTTACTGACTACTTGTGCTCGCTCCCAATTAAAGCTATTTCAATCCAATCTTAGCATCCAATTAATCCCGAAAAATTTGACGACGTTTTATCTTCTTTAACTAAAATATATTATTATTTGAAACTTTTTTTTATCAGTTACGGTTTTGCTTAAACTATGACAAAATATCGGATGGTTATAATATCGGTGATGACTTAGTAATTTTTTATGACTGGCAAGAAATTACGCACAAAGATTACTGCAACTTTTCATGGTGACGTACCTCATATTTTGTATATAAGGGCTAGTTGAAATGATTCATTAATTGGCCTCACCGAAAACTGAAGGAGAATTGTGTTGTGGTTAAGTCTGTTTGAACAACTGTTTTTGCGACCACAACTCCGCGAACCCGATGAAGCAGTGCTAATTTCGCGCATATCATGTGAAAGAATTGACTAAAGCAAAAAAATATGCCTTAAAAAATTCACCGTCCAAGAGATTAAGAGAATCGGCAGGCTGCAACCATATTTATTTCATTAAGCCCTACATTCTTCACTTACTGATATATTTCATCTGCAGGTTGGTTATTGCACGCTTTCCTTACATAAGTGAAAAATAATAAGTTGCATCCTCCACTAACTCCTTTGTATTATTCGTCATGAAATAATGATGCGCATAATTATGTTCCATTTAAAGTGTCATGAGAGGTTTGTGTGAGTGCTAACTTGATTCAAGTTTAATCAGG